TTAGTCATTAGAACTGACCTCTGGATCTCTGCAAGGAGTGTGCATGTGTGTGCTGGGCTGATAACGGGGGACGCTGGGGTATTGTTTGTAATAAAAGCGTAAAGTGTTTGATTTGAGTGAAATGTGCCACGGGGAATACATCATGCGGAGAAAAAAAATTACAACCCTGGGAGCCTGTAATGAAGGGAATTAAACCAACATCCTATCTAAATAACATGATTATCTACACAAAACCCCTCAGCTAGCAAGTAATAATAGAAAACTGAGCTGCTTCGGAGAGTCTCTTTCAGAACGTGGTTAATGCTAGGGACTTGCACACAGGCAGAATCAGAAGAGCAGTTCCTGTATGAATACAACATCCAATTACTGCCGTGGAATAGAGTTTACCAGGTGCCCGTCTGTCTATATGTTGGGGGGGGGCGGGGACGAGACTGAAAGCTGCAAGAATTTGGGACCTCTATTTCTTCCACGACTTGTACGTGCGAGGAAGTGAGGGGTGCCAGAGCGGAGTTTGATTGGGTTGCTGATTGATTAGCAGTAGCGAGAGCTTGTAAAAGCACAAAAAATGCTCAATAATGTATTCAGCAAATCCCCAGCTTAGTAATTGTGTAAGGTCAGAACATGGGAGGCAAAGAGTCAACTAATGTTTAGCTATTATTCAGCCGTGAAAGAGCCTGTTTAGGTAAATGCTTACAGGGATGCGAACATGCAAGGACACATGTGTGAGGCTCAGAAAAGCGAGAGAGCTGGGGAAAGCCAGGACTCCTGGGTTCAGCATCCTCCTTGGCACTGGTATGGGAGCTTATGTCCCTGAAACCCTTTAAGACCTGCAAAGGGTCTCTAGGGACATCATTATTAAATCTTGGGAGGCAGAATGGCCGGGGTGCATCGGCACGAGCGTTGCCTTCCCGTTCTGTGGCAAGGGGATGTTGGCCACGTGTTTTAGGAGCTTTGCCAGCAACATCACGTAAAAGGTGAACAAGGATCTTTGAGGCTGTTTGGGGAAGGAGAGATTCTGGTACTGCCCCTACCCCTTTTAAAAAAAAATTATTTCCCCCAATTCCTGACATCCTGAGGACAACAAAATGGAGGAGGGCCTGGTCGACAAGGTTCTTTGGGGAAATCTGATACCTTTCATAAGAGCAACTAAATAGTTGGAAAAATGTGGAGGCCTGGTGTGGTGTTTAGAACTCGCCGCGGGGGCTTGGGGGCTTGCTTTCTTCTCTTGCTTTGAAATGGTCCAAATCTGGGGACCTACTGAGTGCGGCGCAGCAGAGATCTGCTTGACTTGGCCCTCGAGGACGGCTGAAGCTATGCATCCTATGAGCTGGAGCAGGATGGGGCTTGGCAAGCGGCTTGAATTGGTCACATGTGAACAGGGTCTTACGATTCATCCCTTCATTCCTGCTTCCGCCATTTATTCCATCCTGTTGCAGTCCTGGTCACAGTTGTTTGAGCTACTTATGAAAACCTGAGATTTCTGCAGGTGTGGGGAGTTGGGGTCTCTTGGTAACATGGGTCTTGGCAATATGCCTCACTGTTAGTTAAAGAGGGCAGAGGAGAACTCCCAGGAAGATTTAATTTATTCAGCTTGTTCTATTTCTTTATAACCAAACTCTCTTTTTTATTTTTAACCACGAAGCTGCTGGCTTTAACTTCCTGGCTTTTGGGGCATTAGACACTTGATGTGCCCTTTTTCATGTCTTTAATACTCTTTGTAGCATTGCTGTTTTTATTAATGCTCATCGGCAATGGGAAATTGCATAATGAGAACATAAGAACTGCCATGTACCGGGTCAGACCATGGGTCCATCTTGCCCAGCATCCTGCAGCAGAGAACGGAGGCTGGGCGGGAGAGGCAGCTAGGTCTGCCCAGGCTTTTCCCCCTTTCCTCTCTCATTTGCAGCCTCCAGCATTTGGGGTGCAGGAAGCTCCAGTTTGGAGGCTGTGCCCATCAGTCCTGTGCTCAGTACTGATGTCCCTTTCCTCTAAGCATGTGTCTACTCCCTTTTCTTGAATCTGGCAAGCCTCTCCGCTCCTACCACCTCTGGTGACAATGACCCCCACCCTTTAATACTGCACTTGGTGAGAGAGAACTTCCCGGGGTTAGTTTTAAACTTCCTACTTCCTGATTTGATGCCGTGCCCCTAGTTCTTGTCTGGTGAGAGACAGACTATAATAAATCCCTATTGACTTTCTCCTCGCCATTTAGTACTTTGTAAACCCTTCTCATATCCCTTCCCCCCCAGGTTTCTAAACTGAACAGGCCTGCCCTCTTTAGTCTGTCCTTATATGCCACTCATCATCCTCATTCTTGTTGCCCCTCTCTGGACCATCTCTAGTCCTTCTGTCTCCTTTTGGAGGTGCAGGGACCAAAGCTGGGCACACCATAGATTTATAAAGGGGCACGATGATACTCTCCATTTTGGTTACAGTTCCCTTCTTAATAACCCTGATTTGTTGCTTTGACAGCTGCAGAGCTGATGTTTTTAGCAAATGGTCCACAATGACTCCCAGGTCCGTGGGTTGCCCTTGCACAGGATCCTGCCCTCTTGTAAAGCCTTATCAAGACCCTTGTGCTAAGCCATTGAATAACACAAAAATGGAAAAGGCCTTGTTTGAACTGAGTCATCTCTGGGCATTGCCCACTTGGCTGCATAAACCCCTGTGTTTAGTGAAACAAAAATGGTGTTTTATCTGACATAACCTGCTGAATATTTGTAATGCCAGCCCTACCACATAATGGCAGAAGCTGCAGCTGCCAGAAGAGGATGTGGCACTTTTAAAATGACTGCCATTGCTGCATGAACTTCAGCGGAGGCAGATGCCCTGCCAGAAAGGAGTCAGCCCAGTTATTTGTACTGAACTCTTTCCAAGTCTGACTGCCTAGAAAAGAGGATTTCCACAGGGCGAAGTGTGTGTGATGCTCTGCAGGCTAACACAATGATCTCGGAGTTCCTCAGAGGTCATCCTGTGCATGTCATAATTCGTGGGAGAGTTGCAGCATTTATTTTTATTTGTGAGGCCTACTTCCCCAGTCGAGCCATCTTCTCTCCCCTTTCTCATATGCCAAAGATGCTGACCCTCCGGCTGAAGCTGGAAAAGGTCCATGCTGCACTTTCTGTTCCACCCCTTGAGAACCTGACAGGCATCGAGTTGCTGAACAGGGGGAAAATTTTTTCCCTCTGTTCCAGCTCTGGGGCATATTATGACCCTGCAGTGGAAATGTGCTCTGTCTACACTGGATCTTAGCTGACTGCACTCCTACTGATACCCATTTTTCTAGTCGAGACAACTTTGTAGTGGCTACTCTGTACTTCTAACCACCTAGTTATTACCAGGCACCTAGTGTAGCTCGCACATGAGTAAGGCAGAGGCGAATATTGGGCAGGCACAAAGTTTTCAAAATAAAAATAAAAGTGGTTAGTTGTTCTGTCTCTACCTTCCAATAATTTTAATTAGAGGATCTCCAAGAAAAACAGCCAGCCCTTTAAATCAGTTATAAAACCAGAAGACTTAGTCTCAGCATGTAGTGTCAGCTTTAATTATCTGGGCAGTTATAGCCGTATGTTATAAAAGTCAGGCAATTAGACGCATTCCTTAAAGCTGTGAAAAAAATTGCGAGCTATCAAGTAGAGGAAAAACAGAGTTAAACATATAACTGTTAATTGCATGAAGCATTCAGCAGAATAAACCAGCATGTAGATCATATTGCAAAATATTATGAAAATGGAAATGATTAAATACATAAATCTGTTTTGAATGTAGATGTCAAGGATATAAAGGTGTTCTCTCTGAATGTGCTTGACTGTCTCCAAGGACTGTTGTATATTAGGCAGGATGGAATATTTTTGCTCCTTAATACATAGTTGGGATAACGCTCGTTTTGATCAATAGTGTGCAATGATACAGCTGAGGACCAAGGGGCGTGTCTACATGTGTGCTTTAATGAACATTAGCTTATTTTAATGTGCATTAAAGCATCACTAACCCCCCCCCCACTATTTAGTTAATGCGCATTAAAATAGGCTAATGCGCATTAAGCATCACTTAAAAATTGCGGGCATTTTTACACGTGCAAGTGTCGCAGCACCGGGTGCTTTGAAAAGTGCCCGGCGCTGTGACACTTGCAATGTATAAGCAGCGAAATGCGTGTTAGTGCTGAGAAAACGGCAGAAATGCACTTTTGAACTAAAATGCATAGAAGGTGTTTCAGTTCAAAAGCTCACCACCACCATATTCTGCATGCTGACGCACGTTTTGCTGCTTGTACAACTGCCTGCGGCACAGTGCAGTTTGCATCAGCTCACATGTGGAGCAGACTCGATTAATTGAGTCTGTTTTGAACCGGTGAGTCTCCGGTGTATCACGGGACGAAAAGGTATGTGTATAAATGCCCTGTGCTCTTTAGTTAATACTCATTAAGACAGGCTAATGCACATTTTCCTAGTATGTCGCAGTGGAGGTACTAGATTTAATATGCATTAGTTAAAGCACATTAATGCACGTGTAGATGTGTCCAAAATGTCTTGTGCCTGTTGACATGGGCAGATCATTCCTTTGTCCTCCAACAGATTTGGCTGAGCAGCTGCAGGAATTCCTCTTTTTGTTTCTCAGGGTCAGTGTATTTGTGCCCCCCTTGCCACCATAAGAGTCTCTTTGTAGGCAGATAGTAGCTGACCCCCACAGTTAGCACACAGTAAAATGCAACACCAGACCAGGCTGTTCTCACTAGACCTGTCCCTGCCTTGGATGGAAAAAAGTTTGAACGCTGCATTAACCATCCGAGTGGTTGTGTTATGTGTGTGCATGTGTTTATGCATGTGTTGGTGGGATGTTCCTTGCTGAGCCAGCTGAAGATCACTTGGTTCAGTGGAGGAGTAGTGTTGTCCTTAGTTTTAGCTGGCAGTCACTCTTATCAAGACGGTATGAATCAGGCAGGTTGGCCTCTTCTTAAATTCTCTCCTTTAATTCAAGCTCTACTGTTCACTTTCTTCCAGGGTCCAGCCTGCACCTTGTGAGGAGCCCCCCGGCTAATAAAGTAATAAAGACCCGCTATAGGATAGTGAAGAAGAACGTGGCTTCCCCTTCAGGGTCCTTGTCGTCCTTCAGCGACCCCATTCCCAGCTGGAAGACGAGGCGGCTTGCAGGATCCAGGTAACATTTATTGGCTGTGGTCCTCAGCTGCCATTGAGATGGTGTCTCAGGATAAATCAGCTTCGGGAACTCGAGAAGCAGCCATGCGGGTTGCTTAACTATGCTAGTCTATTATGTTACTCTTGCATATTAGTCACAGGAATCACTTAATTTTTCTGTTTGTTTAGCGGCTTCTATGCCCAGTATATTGACTTAAAGTGTAAAATCTTATTAGTAATCATGTTAGCCTCAGTCGGGCTGGTGACAGATAGCTTTTTCCCACAGTTATGCAAGCCACTTCCTATTTACTCCCTGTTGCAATGAATTGTTTTCACCTAGCAGTTAAATAACCTGTAAGGGAGCTGGGGAAATGCATGCGATTCTCCTCTGAGCAAGCGCCTGTTGAGGACTGCTCCGGAGAGCACCCGCAGCTGTCAGCCCTCAAGGTCCGTGGGCCCATTGTGCTAGCCTTGTGTCTCTAGGATTTTAATTGAAAATACCCCTCCCCTCCCATCCATTGGCTGCAAACACAGAAGCTGCATGGGGTGAGTGCCCCAGAGCTGCTCTCTGCAATAACTCCTCTGGGGTGTGTGAACAAGAGCAGGCCAACCCGAAGCTGCTTTCTTCCCCACCACGTGGAAGTCGCCTATCAAACCTCTTGCCGTGGGAAACCTTTAGGCTAAGAATGAATGTGATGTAAAACAAATGGTTGTTTTCAAGTCTGGATATCTTATCTAATATATTGTTACAATTAATGATGAAAAGCATCATGGCAGAGGATGTGAAGTGCCATGTTTGAGGGCTTAAGCCAGCTTCTAACTGTTAGAGATGAGGATGAGACGGATTTATGGGAGAAAGGATCAGATTACCCTGTATTTGATAGATTGTCTCATCCCTTCCTATGAAACTTTTTTGGCCACTATCTGAGATGAGATTCTTCCACTGAAGGAGGCACGAAGAACAGTACTGAATGCTTCTGCAAACCATCCCCTTGCCCCTTCTTGTTCTAAAAAGCTCCAGTAATAGGTTTGGGGTGCACAACTGACCCACTAATAGGTTTTGGGTCCAGTGTGTTGCATTTTCCCTCTGGGGAGCTTTCTGAGGTCCTTGCTTTTATGGTGTGTGTTGGTTACTGTGCAAAGGCAAATATTTTAAAAAGGGAACCCAGTTACAGCATCATTTGCCCCCCACCTCTAACTCCTCACGAGCTAAACTAGCTGACTTGAAGCTTCACACGTGCTCTTCTCTGTGCAGAGAATTGCTTTTGGAAAATCTGGAGTTAATTGCACCAGTCAGAGGGGAAGTGAGAGTTTAGAAAATGTCAGCTTTTGCAAAGTTTTTGGAAGTCTTTGTCTTGTCACTTTTTATCTTGTTGGCTTTCATAACTTCGTGCCTCTGACGTAGGTGCAACTTTTGGAGTAATTTTGGGGTAACAATTGATTTTTATCTGAATTGTCAGAAGCCAAAGGGCCTGTCATATATGAACATTGTGGTGCATGGGGTTTTTAAATAGTTGTTAGGCTGGGACTAGGGGCAGCTTTCAGTCCAATATGTGAGCTGGGTCAGCATATAGCATCCGCTGTATCTGCCAAACTATGTTGTCATGTGCAGCCGCCTACCTGTTACTGCGTGAATACAGCAAACTGGCAGAGTTACGGTTCCACAATTGGCTTTAAGTGCTGACTTTCTTGGATGGTTGGCACCCTGTATGTCTATCGTCAGTATCTTTGCAGCTGCCTCCCATGCCTTTTTCTAAGCTTCTGATGACCCCTTCATCCTCCCTGCCCCTCAGGGGGAATGTTCTTCTTGCATACTGCCCCTGCGTTTCACAGGAACAGCCTACAGAGCTGGGAACCATCCTCAAGGATGTCTCTCTAAACCAGTGATGGTGGATGTGCAGCAGGTTATGACAGGGGAGAGATGGCTTTAGATGTGATCCCCCCACTACAGAAAAGATGTGAACAAGTTGGAGAGAGTCCAGTGGAGGGCAACACAAATGGTTCACGGGTTGGGGATCATGACTGATGAGTGGAGGAACTGGGCTGATTGAGTCTGGAGAAGAGAAGACGGAGAGGGATTGAATAGCAGCCTTCACCTCCCTGCAGGGGGGCTGCAAAGAGGATGGAGCTGGGCTGGTCTCAGTGGGGGCAGACACAGGACAAGGAGCAATGGGCTCATGTTGCAGTGAGGGAAGTTGACTTTGAATATGAAGAAAAACACACTCATGAGGAGGGTAGTAAAGCACTGGAATAGGCTACCCAGAGAAGTTGGGAGTCTTCATCTGTGGAGGTTTTGAAGACCAGGGTAGACAAATCCTTGTCTGGGATGATGTACCTGGGACTGGTCCTGCTGTGAGCAGGGGGTTGGACTAGACGTGACCTCCTGGAGTCCCTTCCCACCCTCCTTGTCTGTGATTCTAAGATAGCATATGGGCATCCGCAGTCTACAAGTGCCTATGGGGTTGTGCCACTAGGATAGGCCAGACAGCTGAACAGGTCATTGTCTATTTCTGGAATAGCCCAAATGGAGCACCCTTATCTTTGTATAAAAAAAGAAAATGCTGTACGGTAAAATTGCAGACCCTTTTTGCCAAAGTCTTGGTTTTCCTTTATAGTTTGTTCATTGGACGTTACAGCTCCAGGTATGTGTGTATATACCTGGAGCTGTAATATATGTGTAATATACTGGAACAGGTCACCCAAAGAGGTGGTGGAGTCTCCATCCTTGGAGGTTTTCAAGACCGGTCTTGACAAATCCTTGACTGGGATGGTGTAGTTGGGGCTGGTCCTGCTTGGAGCGGGAGGGTTGGACTAGATGTGACCTCCTGAGCTCCCTTCAACCCTCGTTGTCTAGGATCCAGTGATTCTGTAGGAAGGCATATTTCTTGCAATTCATTTCTTGTTCCTCTTTGGTCCTCCAGTGTTCTAATAATACTGAATCTACTGAGTTTTGGATCAGAAGCCATTAGACTACTGATCACTGTTGCTTATATTGGCAATCTTTTCATAGAAAAGCAGGTGCGTTTTTGGTAAAAGGAGGAGCATTTTTTGGTATTAAATGCTCTTTAATAGGGTATTAAATACCCTATAATATTCTCAGAGAACACAGGGAGAATAACAGCCCAGGAAACGGTTCAGGTTAAGTCCTTTCCAGATTTGCTTCAATGTTAAATCGAGGTTTCTGGTGAAGGTAAGTCCTGATCCCCCTTTGTCAAGAGATTAAATTGATCCATCCCTATTCAGGTTGGTTGTCAGTATTAAGGGGTTCAGAGCCAGGGGTTGTCTACTCTAACCTCTGCCATTTGCAGTGACAATTTGCCAGGTCTTTCCAGGTATTTTGAATGGCAGAGGCCCCCAAGTGAACTGTACTAAGTCTGTAGTTGCCACTAACCAATGCAATTACATTGCCATCAGCCTGGAAGTTGCCCCCTCCTCTGTTAAGTTAGGTATATCTGGAGAGTGTTTCTCTCTCTCCTCTTTTTTTTCTTCCTGAACCAGCAGTATTGATCGCATCTTGCTCCTTTATTTAAATCCATTAAGTTGAACCTATCTCAGTGGAAACAGTTGCCTCTTTCTTTATGTGGTACAGACAGTCTTGTTAAAATGACCATTCTCCCTCTGTTACTGCATTCACTACAAATATTGCCCATTTATCTGAAAGCCAGAGAGAAGATTGATTTTTGTTTCTTCTTTTTTTTTTTTTTTTCTTGACCACAAATGTTCTGTGAAGGATCTGGACAAAACTGCTGCTTCAGTGTCTCTCTACGTTTAATGCTCCTCTAACTGGGGCCTGGAAAGAGAGACTTTGAGCAAGGGTAGCAGGGTCACACCCATCATATTCCCTAATTGCCCTGATCTTACCAGGTAGCAAGAGAAGTTGCATCCTGTAGACACGATTTGCTAGTTGATCAGGGCTCTGAAATCACTTCCTGAGCCAGTAAAACAGGACAACAATGTTTTGTAGCTTGGGGGTGGTTATATGGAGGAACGTCATTGTACTATATCACGCGTTGCATGAGACCGTTATCCCATAGATGCGTGCCTGACGTGGGAGTCCCATTCAGGATTGGGCAGTAGCAGAGTGGTGGTACCAGGGAAGGAAGCAAAACGAGCCTTGCAGAATGAGTGATGGGTGTGATTAATATTGGGGAAGTTATGGGAGAAGGGCAAGATCAGGCTGAAAGTAGAAACTGGCTTCACCGGTTGCTGTCGGGAAGCAGATCTCTCCTCGATTCTGCTCTATCCAGGTCATAGTTTCATAGTTTCTAGGTCCTTATGGCCTGCTTGTTATCACGCAATTTGAGCATCTGATTAATTGAGGATTTGACTGGTGAGGGGCAGTAGTGGGGAGGAAAGGGGCTAGGGGCCACCGGGAGGAGCAGAGTTTGTTGGGTTGGGCTATCAGTCTTGCTCACTAGAGCCGTCACGTTAGCGAGGAGTAACCGGATTCGGTTTTGATTGGCGGAGAGCTTCCACTTGTGGAATAATCTTCTCCTTATTAATCTTTGACTTCATTAAATTGTGTAGTTTAGATCTTATGGCGGCTTCATACAAATCTTGATAAAATGCCATCCTCAAATTAAAACAATTATATTTTAAAGAAGCCATAAATCTCCGATTCAGTCTTCCTATTACCTTTGTTGCATGTGATCAATCATACAGACGGCCGGGTGAAAGCACATGGCAAATGCTTTTTCTATAGTTCTTACATTTTTCTTAGGCATCGGAGAGGATGTTCTGAACAATGGAGTGTAACAAAAAATGATCTATTAGGCTGTGAGCTGCTCTCTGGAGGGAGGGAGGGGAAGCCTGGGTGTTTGGGCTGTTAAAAACCGTTCTGGAGGAAGCACTGGAGACCGTTCTAGGAGATAGCCATCCTGCACTGGTGGAGGAAGGTTTGGGGTCTGAGCTGGGTTGGGGATACGTCTTCTGTGGTTCGGTGACATCTCAGACCTATATATGCAATATACTCCACTTTCAGAAATGACTTGCGTTGAAGGTGGCCAGCCCAACAAAGTTGGC